AAGATCCTTTCCAGACATGTATTATGAAATATATACAAATAGTGTGCTTGGGACATAAATGTGTTCTTTTTTTTTCATCACACAGAAAATAATTCATTATTAGAAGGTAGGTTCAGCTTAGTTTATGTGAATTATTAAGGTTAAAGTACTCTCTGCTCCACACCGTCACACCAAACTCCATTCAAAAAACAACCGTTTTAAGGTCGGGATATATTTTATATATATTTTATATTTTTTCTTTATTTCCACCATCACTAAGACTCTCGCACACACGTGATTGACACAGTAACGTCATTAACTAACCTCTGATGAAGTGTTTGACACAGGCCGCCCCTTTAAATTTAGATGTTCAATGAGCTCAGAGAAACTTTCCACTTGCAGCAGATGAATGTGACAACATCCTTCTAGTGTCAAACTCTGCACACACATCATTCAAACATCACACTGTAGGGACAAGAAGAAACTGATATTTGAGCGGAGGGGGACTTTAAAACATCCTGCGACCTGAAACTGTAATATATACCTGTATCCTTGGAGAGGTAACGAGGTAGTCTGAGCCTGTAGACAGATAAATGTGATCTCCCTTCTGTCTTCTGTCTGTTGGTTATATTTTATTGACCTTGAGGGCTTAAATTCTTGCTTTATATTGATTTGCATTTTCTAGGGGAGGTAAATAAAAACCCTTTTTTTTTAACTACAACTCCTGTTTCCTACATTGTCTTGCTGTTGGTCCATGACAGTCATGCTGCTCTTACAGCCTATTCTATAAGGTAAAGATCTGCACTTAATGCAGACAATAAACCTCTTTACACTGCCACCTGCCACCTGAACAGGGCCTCATCTTAACCTCAAGTCCAAGCTTTTACTCAATAATCTTATTGTATTATTATCCACTAAGACCTTTAACCTACTATTAGCATGCAGACATCTATAATAAAAATAGGCCCTGATCTGAGAGATTCTTTTGTAAATCTAATCACAGTGGAATAATCATGATCATGAGATGAAAGCTTATGGTGTTGTAAATGTAATTTTCTTTGTAAATGTCACATCGTCTGCAAGGGAGCTTCCTCGCTGTGCGCGCCCTCAGAGGTGTTAATGTGACTCCGGCTGGAAAATCAAATCAAAGTCCATATTTTGTTTCTTTCGCTGCTCCATTTTAAATTTGGAATTTCAAAATTGGATTAAAGCTGAATGTGTTGGAGTTCACAGACGGCGTCAGAGCACGACCGACTTTAAACTGATTCAATCTGGATGCCTCTCTCACAGTGTGTGCAGTTTATTAAGATACAGTACAATTACATTATAACAGAAAGACTGTGTGGATTCACAGATGTGTTATTAAGAAGAAATGATCATTCTTATTATTTTCACATGATAACTTGATATATTTTTTTGCTAACTCACTGTGCACGTCCAGAAATAATACTTACCTATGTCAGGTTTTGAAGCGCAGGGGGGGCACTGAGCTGCAGTATTTGATCCTTTGGGAGTGAACATGTTTGATGTACACATACTGCGCCCACAAATACAATCTGTCTACTGACTTACATCAGTAAGCACATGCATCCATATTTATTTATGCATGCTGTGATATTTATTTAATGTGAAAGTTCATTTTTCTGTGTGTGTGTGTGTGTGTGCTGAGGAGGAGGGGCCCGTCAGTGTCAAACAGTCATTGTGAAAAGGCTTGGCTTGGCTTTTTGTGGTGAATAATGGAAATTTAAGATGAGCTGAAAGTGAAATAAAAGCAGCGGGATGAGAGCGATAGATGTCTCCCTTTTCCAAAAGCCACTCTCTGAGGATGGGGAATATTAACGTTACCCTCTCCCACACCCACTCAGCTTCTGCCCACCGTGGCCCTTACATACTGGAGGGGCCGCACTGTGGAAGTGCTATCTGTTGATGAATAATGAATGCTGGATTCCAGGGTTACCTCTCTCCTCACTTTAAA